TACAAAGGCTGCAGACAAGAGATTTGAATTGGGGTATATCTAATAAATAGTGATTTTATTTGTTTGTATTTTGGCAGTGTAGTGTTTAAGCTTAAATTGGATGAAAACTACACATGTGCTTTCTTCTTCCTTCCTGCAGACAATATCCTTGCCCACATAGACAGTATCTATTCTTTATATGGTGAAAAAGAATATTTTATTGACTAGTCAGATAATCAGAAAAGGTAGAAGCTCCCACCACTGTCCATGTGCACTCAGATTTGGGTAAGGTGATAGAACAATTGGGTATGCTGACTTCTATGTTTATAGTGGAACCCTGCATCCCCCTGGCAGAATTCTGCAGAACAGTGGTTTGTCCTGAAGCTGTATTAACTGAAACCCAGGACATAATTAGCATGATTGCATTTTACAATTAGCATGATTGCATTTAACAGCTAGCATTGCATTTAAGAGCTAGCATTCCATTAATCTTGGGTGGAACCATGGGGGTGGAGTTACCCTGAATCATAACAGCAAAACATTCTTAGTAATAACAGCAAATAGAATTGACCAGTGAGCCTTTTCAGTACGTATATAACTCCCTTCTCTACCATGATCATGTAACACATACTATTTTGCTTCCTTTTTTTCAAGAAATTGGAGTTCATACTTGAGAAATGATTTTTATAGCAAAGTTTCATTACGCCCCTATTAATGCTTGTAAGTGGAAATTTTAAGCCCCACTTCCCTCCACCACATACACTTATTTGGCCAAAATTGTGGAAAATTTGGAAAAATTGGTATTTCTGAGTATTGATGACTTGTACAAAAGGGGTCTTTCTTTTTTTAGAATAATGCCATAGAATTCTGTTCTTAAAGGACCACTATAGGCACCCAGACCACTTCAGCTTAATGAAGTGGCCTGGGTGCCAGGTCCAGCTAGGATTAACCCTGCCTGCTGTAAACATAGCAGTTTCAGAGAAACTGATATGTTTATAATAGGGTTAATCCAGCCTCTAGTGGCTGTCTCATTGACAGCCGCTAGAGGCGCTTCCGCGCTTCTCACTGTCATTTTCACAGTGAGAAGACGCTAGCGTCCATAGGAAAGCATTGAGAATGCTTTCCTATGGACTGGCTGAATGCGCGCGTGGCTCCTGCCGCGCATGCGCATTTAGCCGATGACGATTAGAAGGAGGAGGAGAGGAGGAAGAGAGTCCCCAGTCCGGCGCTGGAAAAATAGGTACATTTAACCCCTTCCACCCTCTAGAGCCTGGCGGGAGGGGGACCCTGAGGGTGGGGGCATCCTCAGGGCACTATAGTGCCAGGAAAACGAGTATGTTTTTGTGGCACTATAGTGGTCCTTGAAAAAAGATAATTTAATGTAGAATGTAACGTGATACTTTATTTAAGAAATTTAATTTTAGAAGAAGTTATACACAGAAAAACATGATAAAGTGAAAAAAACCCATGTTTAAAGCAAATTTCATAACCTTTCAACATTTCTGTTAGTACTGAGTGTGGAAGCCTTTAGTCGTAATTACAGCCTTATCGTGTGGAATGCACCATGCATTTTAGTTCATCAGGTGTTATAATGTGAAACCAAGATTGTGTGATTGGTACTATCAATTAACTTTTGTTCTTTGGTTGGTTCTGGCTAACATGCTTTAAAGATTAATCTTTAATTGGAAACCACTGAGTTTCTATAGGATTCAGGTCAAGGCTATTTCCTGGACATTATAGCCGTGTAAATTTTTTTTCCTGAAACGACTTTTTGCACAAAGCAGGCTATGAATCCTTTTGAAATATATAGACTTCATTATCCTGGAACAGATCAGTTTTGGCTCAAGTATATCACTGATATATTTAGCTAGTATTTTTAATACCATCACACAAACATCTGCCCAAACCTTTTGCTGTCATACATCCCCACATGATAACACTAACTGGATACTTCAAGGTAGCTGTGGTGCATCTAGGCGCAAATCCTCTCCACTTCTTCTTACATACTTTATTCCATCACTACAAAATATCGATATTCTGGTCTCATCACTCCAGATGACTCTGTCCCATTGTTACTCAGACCAATTGACAGGGTTCATTTTAGCCCGTTCTAATCTCTTTTTTCTATGTTTTGGGAGAAAGAAATTACGTTTACTTTGGCATTCTAGAATTTCAACAAAAGTTATTCAGTCTTAGCACTCATTTTCAAACCACATTGAAACAATTCATGTTTAATTGACCCAGATGATCTTTTTAGGTCACTTAAATACAGCTCTTTTTTTTTTAAAACAAAACTTTATATCACTACATGCTGTTTTGAACATTTTCCTGTCTACCAGTTTTAATCGACTGAGTCTGTATACACCTCTCGCACAGTTTAGAAATATCTCCGTTAGAGATTTCCTCATAAGTGTAACCTTCTTCACGCAAATGGTTATTATTTACATTGCTTCTTATGAGAACTGTCAACTCTTGTCACTCTATCATCTAAGTTACACAGTTTACTAAGTTATTAAGTGATAGAAAGATATGTGACCAACAAATCAGAAAACGACAAAAGACTTGATGACACTCACAAAACTGAATAAAAGTCCTATTATTAGCCCTGATAAATAGACATAAGAGCTGTCTCATACTAACACCTTCTTGGTTTCATGCTGTGTCATACTAACACCTGATTGGCTCACAATAAGTCTCATTAGTCAGTTTGGAGTTAAGAAAAATCCACTTCTTGTTACAAAAGGCAGTTGTGTTTCCTTTTTCTGCTTATTCGGATATATCCTTTTGATAGAAAAAGGATACCTTATTCGTAATGAAATTATCTCTCTTGTGATATTTAATTATATTGCATTAGCCCAATAACGACTCATGTTGTGAGCCATCAAGCCTTAGAAATATACATTTTTCAGAAGGCTTCCACAATTTTGGTCACTAGAGTATTTTCAATTAGACGCTGTATCCATGCATTCTAAGAATTAAGTGAAAAAATATTTATGTATTCTAACAATTATAAGTTTATGCAATACAGTGACAATAGGTCATTTGGAGATTGGCGGTACAACAAATGTAGTAGAAAGGCAGTTGGCATAGCATACAGTTGGCTTTGATAATATCAATATACAAAGGTGATATAAAGGAGTTAGTTAAAGGACCACTATAGGCACCCAGACCACTTCAGCTCAATGAAGTGGTCTGGGTGCCAGGTCCCTCTAGTTTTAAACCTGCAGCTGAAAACATAGCAGTTTCAGAGAAACTGCTATGTTTCACTGAGGGTTAATCCAGCCTCTAGTGGCTGTCTCACTGACAGCCGCTAGAGGCGCTTTCGCGATTCTCACTGTGCAAATCACAGTGAGAAGAGAATGGATGTCCATAGGAAAGCCTTGAGTAATGCATTCCTATGGGCAGTTTGAATGCGCATTCGGAGCTGATGTCGCCAGGAGGAGGAGAGTTCCCAAGCACAGTGGGAGCCTGCGCTGGAAAAAGGTAGCGGGAGGGGGGCCCTGAGGGTGGGTGGGACATAATGACCCTATAGTGCCAGGAAAACAAATTTGTTTTCCTGGCACTATAGTGCTCCTTTAACAAGTCAAAAAGATGGCCTTTTAATAAAAAACAGTTGAACAATGTAACAGAGAGGTTGCTTCAAAATTCTAAGATCGCTATGGTAGGATAAGGGGCTGGGGTAGTCACAGAATCAGTAAGGTTGCAGCAGTGCTATGGAATGTGCAGTGTGTGCTGCTATTGTTGAGGTGCCTTTTCTTCATCAGGATCGCAGGACAGCAATATTATAGTTGACGTTTGATATGACTTGGTGGTAGGGAAAGAGAGAATTAGGAAGAAAGTGTAATATAACAAAAAAAAAAAAGTGTAGCCACTATTTAATTAAAAACTCTGTCTATAATTTAGTGTAACTGTACTATTGTATATGGGCGTTATCCCCACATACACACAGTGTATTTTCCAGGTATTTTTAGGAATCTGCATTTTTAAAAATGACCCCAGATTCATGCTAATACTCAGCAGCAGAATATTTTATTACTTTTGTTTAGCTGCTTATAAATCTATTTTTGTCAAACTTACAGTAGCAAAAATGGCATGTCTGTAGGTAAATGTATATAATTATTTTTTTAAATGATCTCTGCTAATATCTCTGTAAATGATGAATGAATATATAGGATAATAAAATTGTGTGCATTGTTATTTTTTGTGTGTTATTAAACTGCAATATATAAAACATTATTTTTATCCAAGAATGATATGTAATCTACACATCCCATGTTTCAAATAAATGCTATGCTAATAGTGTTAAAGCTAAAAAAAATTTGACATTGAAGGACTTATAGAGGAAGTAAGCATACTGATTTGCTACCGAGTTACTAACTTAAAGATTATTTATATCTATGCGAACTATCGTTGTGGCCTGTAACTGTTTCTATAGCTTCAGATATTCAGTTTGTATTTTGTTTGTTTGTTTTTTTGGCACACTGATTAAATTCTTCGAGCGTAGTTAAATATTTTTCCTGTTACTCTCATGTTATTATAGTTTGTGGGAAATGTGTTTAATATTGAAAACCAGAGAGTTCTGCAGTTATTGGCAGCTAGATTGGATGGCTGATTACCTGACATGCGCATAGTTGTCCTTTTTGCATATGTCCTAAAACCATAACCTTAAACCCCCCCAAAAAGGCACGAACACCAGATTTAAAGTGGATAAAATATCTTGGCTTTAATAAAATATATATATATATATATATAAAATTAAAATAAACAACGGGGCCAAGCTTAGCAACAGAACAGACGCATGGCACAAGAGCTCCTGCAATCTCGGGCCCAAAACTACCAATTTGGATCATCCAAACTGCTATATAGGGTCATACCTGGAGTGGACAGCGACTGGTGGACAAGATGGGGCGAAAAACAAAAAAACTGAGACCGGACAAATCGAGGCAAGGGCCAAACATTGCAGAGCTTCATCGACTAACACGCAACTAACACGACTAACACGCAAAGCCACAGGGCCCAAAATGGCTGGCTACCCTGAAAATTACCCCGAATTATCAGACAACTTCTCCTTGGAGGGTGAAGAGGCCGACTTATCTCCGGCACAGAAACTGACACCAGCCACCCAGAAAGCCGATAACTCACCCGTGACCACCGCAGTCCTGAAATCGCTCCTCGCGGACTTACAGAGGACGTTCCAGACACATGTTGCCACGCTCCGGGCCGACATACACAGCCTGACGGGCCGAATGGGAGCCCTAGAATCTGCATCCAGTGCCTGCTCGGACCAAATCACTATACTACAGCAAGAGGTCCAAGAACTTCAGCGACAGAACGTGGCGCAGGAACGCTGCTTTGCGGCCTTGGAGAATGCATGCCGGGCTAACAATTTGAAGATCCGGGGCATCCCAGAGAATATACCAGCGGCAGAGATGCCACATGTCCTGAGATGCCTCTTGGTGGCCCTGTTGAACCCAAAACATGCCAGGAATGTCCAACAGGACGGCTTCTTTCGAGCCCTGAAGCTGGCTAATGCACCCGGTGCTCGGCGCCCCGGGACCTCATATTAAAGTTCCAACAACACGCTGACAAAGTAGCAGTGACAGCGGCGACCAGGGCCTGTTCGCCATACAAATTTGAATCGATGGCATTAACCTTCTACACAGACCTCACAGGGGGCACACTAGCCTGGCGGAAGTTACTTAAGCCACTCATGGCACTCTAACAGAAGAAAGGACTGAGGTACAATTGGCTCCAGACCCGAACACTGCAGATACTACACGGGAATGAGAAACACGCGATCCACGACATACAAGAAGCGGCATCCCTGCTGCCCATCCTAGGACTACCGCAAGATTCCTTACACTCTGCTGAGACAAGCAGGCCAATGCACCATTGGAATCCTGACGGGGTGATCCCTTTCGTCCCGCGCAAAACCAACTGCAAACCTCTGCTGAGACTGCAGGTATAAGCAGGCCAACGCACCATTGGAATCCTGACAGGGTGACCCCTTTTGTCCCGCGCAAACCCAAGGACGCTCTGATCACAGCAGGAACTACCTGAAGAAGGCCTAATAATAGGCTGTAATATGCTGGACTACCCCAGATGTCTCGTTGATATGTTGACTCAACACAAGTTGCAGGTATACACTCGCTACACACTCACGACTAGGTCGTCTACGGACCGCAGTTTCTCACCCCCACGACTGACATTAGCTTAAACCGGCATCCACATATAATGTTGATATAACAAGGCGTAAACATACACAGCATTGTGGCTATTCACCGCTGCAACATGTAGCCTAGTTGCACACCAGAGGTCTAGTTGCACCGCTCCCCCTACTGACATGCATTATGTTTATTTTATTCTATTTTATTTTATTATATCAGTCAGACTAAATAGCAAGGACCAAGTGAGTACTGGATACACCTAACTACCTCTGAGAGTATAACGGGCCACACAACATCACGCGAATTTAACGCATACTACTAGCGCAAGTTTACCCTCAGTTAGATTATAAAATGTGTTATGCATAGTAATTCACAACTTTTTTTTTTCTATGCTCATACTAACATAACAAAAATGTGCCACCACCTGAAGCCACGTATATGTATATTAATGTACCTTGCTCGCACTGCACCAGATGTTGTGGCTATGCAGATAAGTTTGTTAATGCATGCATGACCAAAATAAAAAATATATATAAATAGGGGCATGGTCTGGATGCCGACCGTGATGGCTGCGTAGTTCCAGAGCTCCACACAATCCACTCACAATCCAGCACCAGCCACGAGCATCAAGACCCAGATTGCAGCCACAACTACTGCAAAATACCAGGCTCACACTCGGAGCCAAACAGAGCACCAAAAAAAGGGGGATAGAAGGGAAACCGCCAGGACAGTGGCCAAAATGCTGGCAGCACCACGAGGCAGACAGGCCTCTCAAGATGGCCGCCAGCACAGCCCTCACGGCTCCCTATCCCCAGCATCCACAACGGGCAGCGACATACCCGAATTTCAAATGGGAGATACCCTACACATCCTAACAAAATTGACGGAGGTCAGAAATTTTCTAGCCAACGAAATCTACAACAGTACTAAAGAAGTAAAGGCAGAAATTCAAGCGGCCCTAGAAGATAAAATGGTGCAAGTCATACGCGCCCACAACACGGTAGTGACACACTCCAGGACCATGGGGCAACAAATTGCAGACCTGGAAATGATGGTAGAAGACCTAGCCAACCGCTCTAGGCGCAATAATGTGAGGCTCTGGGGACTCCCCGAATCTCCTAACGAGGGGGACCTGGTAGACAAAATGAAGCAGTACTTTAAGCACCTCATTCCAGGTATGCCGGACGAACACTGGGCAATTGACCGCGCACATAGAGAGCTCTGAGCCCACAGAACGGAAGGACAGGCCCCAAGGGATATCATCCTCTGCTTTCACTACTACTCCACGTAGGAAGCGGTAATGAAATACGCAAGAAATAAAGAGCTGACATACCAAGACGCAGCTATCAACTTATATCAGGACCTATCTCCTACCACCCTACAACGCAGACGAAACTGGAGACCCCTGGCGCTACTTCTACAGGAAAAGGAGATCAGGTACACCGGAGCCACATACACGCTACTGCCGGGAGCGGACCCGAAGAAATTCCTCCGGAGCATCCAAGTGGAACCGCCACCAGGCTTCACCCTGACCCAGGAGACCTTACCTGAGCTCAACACACTGCCCGCAGAATGGACCACCACCAAGGACACAGCGGGTCGCCACATCTAAGGACCCAAGAGGGAGCTACACACTCCCATACAGACTGCACAGTCCGCTGACCTGGATTCAGGGTCAGGTAATACTGACCTTACGGGGGGGGCTACTGAAGGTTTCCCCAAAACTACACCAGCCAGAAGGCAACATGCCGCTCCCACCCTCCCAAAAAACAAAAGACAACAAAAAAAAACCACTAACAAGGGAAGGGGGCAAAAAAAAAAAAGTCCCCCCCCCCTGACGTCACCCTTGACATAGCAAAATTGGGCATAACCATGTGCCACCATAGAGCCACCTTAGTGGCGACTGCCACGCCTCGGGGGGAAAACCAACCACAATAACACAAAACAAACAAAATATAAACACAAAATAAGCATATAGGGAACCCAGCAAATGTTACCCAAAAGAGGAAGGGGAAGGAAACAGACACGCTTAGTGACTGACCCCACTGAGGAACAGGCTCCCATCAGAACCACCGGCAAACTCGCTGACGCAACCTTATACCACACTAGAAGGGGGACCCCTTAACAGATGGATACAGCCCCACTAGCCTACACGGGGGAACCAAGAGAGCACACTAGGGGAATGGGGAGGAACAGGGGACACCCCTCAAACATAACCTCACCCCTCTACACACCTAGAGGCGAGCCCGCATCGTCACTTGATGGGGACGGACACAATCAGAGCCCCCCCCCAAGGTATATGGGATGAGATGGGTACCCTCAAGGATGACAGGCTGCATCTGAAACCTCACACATAGGCACAGTGGATTGGAGAGTCACTCACCCCTGCACGAGACAAAATTTTGACCTACGGGGGAGAGGAACATCCCCACTCCACTCTGGCAAACTGTAAGACCAGATTGAAAATATATCACTACATACGCTTGTATAAACCTTCTCATGTTGTTAACAATTATGTTATGTTTTTGTTCATGTTTATGATTTTCGGTTTACTATGCACGAGTGAAACACTGATCCTGCTATCCCGAAGGGACCGCCAGACAACAGCAATAGAAAGGGGGGGAGACCAACAGACTCCTGACAGGTATGGACTCTCCGCCCCATACACAAAAGCACCCCACAAGACCGACCCACACATGACGTTGAAAATACTATCCATTAACGCGAAAGAACTAAACACCCCTACCAAACGGAGACTTTTACTACGAGATTTAAAAACAAAGCTGGCTGATATAGCACTGGTACAGGAGACACATATTCCTAAAGCCACATCGATCAAACTAGGGGACCGTATCTATGACACCACATACGAGGCCAGGGCACTACGCAAACAAGCGGGAGTAGCTATACTCCTACATAAAGGCTGCCCATTCACAGTGACACATAAACAGATAGACCCGGAGGGCAGATTCATAGCCATCAGTGGCACTCACTATAACACTAAACTACATATCGTAAACTTATACGCACCCAACAACCCCGACCGGGCATATTGGGACACCATAGCATCCCTACTCACCACCCTGCAAGGGGGCATACTGGTAGTGGGTGGTGACCTCAACGCTGTCCCCTGCCCAGCAATCGACCGCAGCTCCAAACCGGGGACACAAAGATCTCAAGGCAGGGGGGGGACAAGACAAAGTCCTACACTCCTTTCTCCAACACACCGGACTCATGGATGCTTGGAGACTCCAACACCCAGACACAAAAGACTATACATACTACTCAGCACCACACAACACATATTCCAGAATAGACAATATACTCCTCAACGGAGCTGGTATGACCAAACGCATTCACTCAGAAATAAACAGCATCACGTGGTCAGACCACGCCGATGTAGCGATCACACTGAGGAACATCCAATACCATAACAACTGGACATGGAGACTCAACACCAACCTACTCACCGATGAAGCAATACTCACCACGACGCGACAAAAAATCACAGACTATTTTAGTACCAACGACACGGAAGACATAAACCAAACAACACTCTGGGCGGCACACAAATCCATGTTGAGGGGACATCTCATACAGGCAGCCACCCATAAAAAATGAACAAAAACAAAACACCTACTAGAACTACAAACAGCCATGCGGAAACTCGAACAACAAGGAGGGCAATGCCCAGACCCAACATCTCACCCGCATAGCTGACTTCCTAACCCACACAGACCTACCCAGGGTAACAACAGGGGAGGCCAACACTCTGGAAGAACCCATTACACTGGAGGAGGTAGCGGCCACGATATCCGCCCTTAAGGGGAACAAAGCACCAGGACCTGACGGCTATGATATGGGCTATTACAAAACATTTAAGACGGAACTGACACCCCCCCTCACCAAGCTATGTAACCACTTCCTCCAGGGGGGAACCCCAGACCGAGACATGGCTACCGCCAACATAATTCTACTGCCCAAACCCAACAAGGACACCACGCTTGCCACAAACTACAGACCTATTTCCCTCATCAACACCGACTTAAAAATATTCGCAAAAATATTAGCAACGAGACTGACGCCTCTGCTGCCCAAATTAATACACCCAGATCAGGTCGGTTTCATGCCGGGACGCCAGTTATATGAAAATACACGAAGAGGTGCAGACTTGATGTGGCACGTATCAAATTCTAGGCTACCAGCCCTCGTCCTTTCCCTTGACGCGGAAAAGGCCTTCGATAGAGTGCAATGGCCCTTTCTGTTCAAATTGCTCCAAACGCAAGGCTTCCCCGACCCCTACATCACGGCAATAAAGGCCCTATACACAGACCTACAAGCACAAACCATAATAACAGGAGCACCAAAATCCCTGTTCCGAGTGAGCAACGGAACGAGACAGGGCTGCCCCCTGTCACCACTCCTATTTGCGATCGTCCTCAAGCCGCTTCTACACCTCATTAGAGCTAACCCAAACATAAAAGGAGTGCAATTAGGGGATGAACAATTTAAAGTAGCAGCATATGCAGATGATATACTCCTAACACTCACAGACCCACCCGATCAATGGCAAACCTAGAAAAGCTCCTGCAGACATATGGGGACATATCAGGATACAAAGTCAACCTTACAAAATCGACAGCATTAACATTCCATATACCTGACCAGGAGACACAACACATCAGACATACCTACCATATCAAAACCAACACAGACACACTCACGTATCTAGGCGTCAGACTCACAGCAGACCACAACACACTATTCAAGCATAATTATACACCACTGATCACGAAGCTCAAGACTGACTTGGAAAACTGGACAGACAAACCCATCACGTCGCTAGGTCGCCTACACTCAATAAAAATGAACCTTTTACCAAGACTACTATTCCTATTCCAAGCACTCCCGACTCGAGTGACCAAGAGTGACTTCGCTGACATACAAAAGGCGATAGACAAGTTGTTGAGGAGCCAACTCGTAAAGAGGCCATACTAGATTTAGTGTTAACAAATGGAGATTTAGTATCAGATGTTACTGTAGGTGAAAGTTTAGGATCCAGTGATCATGAGTCAGTGTGGTTTAATATAAGAACAGTGACTGAGTCACACCACACAAAAACAAAAGTTTTAGACTTTAGAAAAACAGACTTTTCTAAAATTAGAATATGGGTAGAGGAGTCATTATCAGACTGGAGCAATTTAAATGGAGTCCAAGAAAAATGGGATTATTTAAAAGTTGCACTATTGAAGGCAACAGAAAATTGCATTAGGCTTGTCAGTAAAAGCAAAAAATTCAAGAAACCACTGTGGTACTCCGCAGATGTGGCCAAAATAGTTAAAAACAAAAAAGTTAGCATTTAGGAATTATAAAAAAACCCAGAGTGAGGAAGACAAAATGATCTATAAGATTAGGCAGAAAGAGGCTAAGCAAGTTATAAGAGCTTCCAAATCACACACAGAAGAGAAAATAGCACAGTCAGTAAAAAAGGGGGATAAAACATTTTTTAGATACATAAATGAGAAAAGAAAAGTAAAACAAGGATTAGTTAGATTAAAAACAAAAGAAGGAAGGTATGTAGAAGAGGATAAAGGTCAGGCTGACTGCCTCAATGAATATTTTTTGTTCTGTATTTACAGAAGAAAATGAAGGAAAGGGACCTCAGTTGAGAAAAAGCATAAATGAGTCATTTATTACACGTGAGTTTACAGAGGAAGAGGTTCTATTTCAACTGTCAAAAGTAAAGACAAATAAGTCAATGGGACCTGATGGAATACACCCAAAGCTATTAAAAGAGCTTAGTGGTGTACTAGCAAAACCATTAACAGATTTATTTAACCAATCATTGTTAACAGGAGTAGTCCCAGAAGATTGGAAGTTAGCGAATGTTGTGCCCATTTACAAGAAAGGTAATAGGGAGGAGTCGGGCAACTATAGGCCAGTAAGCCTTACTTCAGTAGTGGGGAAAGTGATGGAAACCATGTTAAAGGATAGGATTGATGAACATCTAAAAACACATGGATTTCAAGATCAGAGACAACATGGGTTTACTTCAGGGAGATCATGCCAAACTAATCTTATTGATTTTTTTGATTGGGTAACTAAAATTATAGATCAGGGTGGTGCAGTAGACATTGCTTACCTAGATTTCAGTAAGGCTTTTGACACTGTTGCACATAGAAGGCTTATCAATAAACTGCAATCTTTAAGTTTGGATTCAAATATTGTTGAATGGGTAAGGCAGTGGCTGAGTGACAGGCAACAGAGGGTTGTAGTTAATGGAATATATTGGAAGCTTGGACTTGTCGCCAGTGGGGTACCTCAGGGATCTGTACTTGGACCCATTCTCTTTAATATTTTTATTAGTGATATTGCAGAAGGTCTTGATGGTAAGGTATGTCTTTTTTGCTGTTGATACTAAGATATGTAACAGGGTTGATGTTCCAGGAGGGATAAGCCAAATGGCAAATGATTTAGGTAAACTAGAAAAATGGTCAGAATTGTGGCAACTGACATCTAATGTGGATAAGTGCAAGATAATGCATCTTGGGCGTAAAAACCCAAGGGCAGAGTACAGAATATTTGATAGAGTCCTAACCTCAACATATGAGGAAAGGGATTTAGGGGTGATTATTTCTGATTACTTAAAGGTAGGCAGACAATGTAATAGAGCAGCAGGAAATGCTAGCAGAATGCTTGGTTGTATAGGGAGAGGTATTAGCAGTAGAAAGAGGGAAGTGCTCATGCCATTATACAGAACACTGGTGAGACCTCACTTGGAGTATTGTACACAGTATTGGAGACCATATCTTCAGAAGGATATTGATACCTTAGAGAGGGTTCAGAGAAGGGCTACTAAACTGGTTCATGGATTGCGGGATAAAACTTACCAGGAAAGGTTAAAGGATCTTAACATGTATAGCTTGGAGGAAAGACGAGAAGGGGGGATATGATAGAAACATTTAAATATATAAAGGGAATCAACACAGTAAAGGAGGAGACTATATTTAAAAGAAGGAAAAACTACCACAACAAGAGGACATAGTCTTAAATTAGAGGGACAAAGGTTTAAAAATAATATCAGGAAGTATTACTTTACTGAGAGGGTAGTGGATGCATGGAATAGCCTTCCAGCTGAAGTGGTAGAGGTTAACACAGTAAAGGAGTTTAAGCATGCATAGGATAGGCATAAGGCTATCCTAACTATAAGATAAGGCTAGGGACTAATGAAAGTTTTTAGAAAATTGGGCAGACTAGATGGGCCGAATGGTTCTTATCTGCCGTCACGTTTCTATGTTTCTATGTTTCTATGTTTCTATGTTTCTATCTGGCAGAGAAAGCGGCCCAGAATAGCCAAAACAATACTGTAGAATCCCAAATGGAGAGGAGGCCTAGGTATGCCCCACCTCCACAATTACTACATCGCAGCCCAAGTCGCCCAAATAGCCCACTGGCACTGCCCCAAAAATCAACGCCGATGGATCGACATAGAATCCCTCATGACAGGCGCAGACCTCCTGCAATTCCTCATATTGACACCGAGAAAACATAGAGTAATCTTACGGACCGATTGCCCGGCCATTCTAAACTCCATCAGCTTATGGGACCAAATCGCACAGAAATCTAAACTCACAAACCTCCCGTCCCCAATGACCCCAGTACTACGTAACAGAGCATTCCCACCGGGACTAAGGGCAAGAGACTTTAAAGGCATAGAAGCCACAGGCCTACAACGCTATATTCACCTATATATCGACAACCAACTAGTACCATACCAACACTTACAAACCCTGGCCCCATTACAAACGATACGTACAATTACGAGATTTTGCACAAACCAAAGAGGTCAAAACGGCAAATGCCAAACCTCTTACTTTCTTTCAGCAAATCTGCCTAAAAGAAAAAATGACAGTGAAATTAATCTCACTATTATACAACCACATATGCTTAGAATCAGGAACGTGGGGAACACAGACATACACAGACAAATGGGAAGCAGATCTGGGTGAAACGGGACAGAGTGGCAAGATATATGGGAGGCGAACACAAAAGTGTCTATATGCACGACCCTCCAGGAACATATAAAACAATGCTCCGGTGGTATACAACCCCAGTCAAGCAATACCACATGCAACTCTGCCCCACAGACACCTGTTAGCGACTATGTCGGGGAAAAGGCATATACATCCACATGTGGTGGCAATGCACCAAAGTAAAAGAGTTTTGGGGAAAAATAGTAGACATGAATACTAAAATCTTACACCGACGAATAACACTGGACCCTTGGGCATGCCTTCTATCACGACTGACAGATGGACTAGACAAACACGACCAAAAACTTCTGAACATGCTTAATCTAGCAGCTCGAAGAGCATTGGCACAATACTGGATAAAACCTGAGACACCCCCACTATCTCTAGTAATTTCCAAAATCAGAGATAATTACTTAATGGCCAAGATGACAGCAAACGTCCGAAACACCACCACCACCACATTCCAAAAGGTATGGGCCCTTTGGGAACAATATGATGAAAAACCATAAGACAAATGAGCACCCACTCACAGACGACTACTCACTCGTGCAGTTCTAAGTTTTAACTATAATTTCCTTCTATTTTATC